AGAGAGAGAGAAAAGAAAAGAAACAAAATCTTTGACAATTTAAGTTATTTTGTATAAATCTGCATTACAATCAGAAGTAGGGGCTTAATTGCTATTATATGCTGAGTTATAATATAACTGGTCAAAGTTAAGTGATTAAAAATTTTGTAGCCATTTTATCACTTTGCCCAAGCTCATGCAGTGAGGACAGAGCATGTCAGAATTTGAAGCCATGACAGTCTATCCATTCACAATTATTCTACACTGTCTCCTACACAAATCTATATAAATGGCCCTTGATTATTTCATATATGCTATTTAATTTAATATCCCCTGATTTTTTTAAGGTGATTAGAGTAGTATTAAATCTATTTTATGGATTAAGATACACAATATTAGAAATAGCCTAAAATGCCAGACAGGCCTTTATCTGATCCCTGCCTTCCCACCATAGTATCTTTTAACTGAAGAAAACATTGGATATGATTCATCAGTAAATTACTTTCCTGGGACTGGGAATCCATGCCTCATTCCTGAGGGAAGTCAGGACAGGATTCTGGAGCATCCATTACACTGCTTAACACCAACACGCCCTCCACGTTCAGCTCAATTATCATTTTCATATGGAATTTGACCTAGTTACTGAGATGAGGGAAAAATTCCATATGAAAATGATAATTGAGCTGAATGTGGAGGGAGTTTTGGTGTTAAGTGGTGTAAAGATACTATGGTGTCTTCTTGAGAAAAAATAAATGTAAGACAGTGTCTTATTTTCAGAGAAACATGGTATCAGTACAGTAGGCCCAGTTCCTTATGTTGACTACCCTTGTATTTGACTAGTTCCCTATAGCCCCTGAGGTGGTTAATTTACAGAGGTTCTACTATAATTGAGAACATTATCATTTGTTCTAGAACAGTAGTTTCATGCCAAGACTTTGTTTTTATAACTAATATTTTGTAATAACCTTTGTTATTTTGGAATATAATTCATATGCATTTTCAATAACCAATACATGTGACTAAACAAAAAAAGAATTCATTCATTAAATATAAGGGAAAATATAAAAGAAAATAATCTTTAATAGAGTAACATATTTTTAAAATACAAAACTGGTCATGATTATAATGGAAGACATAAATAGTCAGAGGCTACCACTTACAATGTCTAAATATCATGACTATGGCAGTTACAGATAATGATAGATACGCGTATGTTTATTGACAACCCAAATGTCATTTACAACCTTGCCTTTTGTTACCTGTTATTCAAGTGATGAACTACTGGCAAAAGAGTCAGGGAAATCTTGGTCAAATTTAAAATAAAAAAAGAACAATCTTCTAGAAACTTCAGTGTATATTAAAAAACTGTCCCAGGGAGGTGCCTGTGGCTCAAAGGAGTAGAGCGCCAGCTCCATATGCCAGAGGTGGCGGATTCAAACCCAGCCTTGGCCAAAAACTGCAAAAAAAAAAAAAAAAAAAAAACTGTCCCAAATACTTTGAATTTATAAATAAAATAAACTTCATTTCTAAATTAAGAAAAATTCAAGCAGTTCTTCATATATATGAATTCCTGGTGGGAAATTTAACTATTGTGTGACATTGTCTATGAATTTGCAGGGCATCTGACATCTCGGACCCATCCCACCTAAGTGGCAAAGCCTCATCCTCTTATGATTGTCACAGATTTTCAAACTGCTTCTAGAGAATGGTGGGTGAGAACCATTACTTTAGATTTTCTGAGATTCTTACTGATTTTATGCATATACTAAAGTTATCAAGTGAGGACCCAGAAGACAGAAGCTCTCTTATTTGCAAAAGATCTTTTGAACCCATCATCTCCACAAATAGACTTTATACAGTTGTTAGTGTGTGTGTTGAAAACATCATGCCTTTTATTGGATAATTTTCAAATATATGTAGTAAATATGGTTATAATGTATGTGTTTTTTAAAGAAAAACTTCAGAATGTAAATAAGAGGATACAGTCTTTCTAGAAGAAATTTAAGTATAGACTCAGACAGGCAAAGGGAGACAAAATGAATAAGCATCCCCAGTAAGCATCCCCGTCCCTCAAAACCTTAGTCATGCCAATTTTAGTTCTGATTTGCTACTTTCCTGGGAGTGGCACCAGTTGGCCCCTGGGTGAGCGAATCACTTTGGATTTGTTGTAATTTATAAGGTAATATAAAATTTTGAATCATTTCAAGATCTGTGGCAAACTTTAATTACACCTTTTGTTAACTCTGGAATAATCAATGCTATCTGTCATCATGTGGGAGACCATAGCATTTCTTGAAATAAAATGGGGCTGTCAAAACAAAAAATAAATGTAATTTTGATGTGCAAGTACTAATTATGAAGAACAAGTACAACTTGATATCATTAATTTATCAATGATCTTATAATGTTAACATATTAAAGATAACAGAATGTAGCTGAGGGCCAGAAGAAAGGTAAGGAGTCATTCTATACACGTAACGGTCTCGGTTTGCAGCAGATGAATGGAGGTCAGGTAGCAGCAGCTGACAAGTTAGTTAGGAGGTAGATCAGGGGCTGCAGTGGCCTAAAGGCGGCCAGAAAGGCTATTGATTAGTGAATGATCAATTTTATCAATGTTAGTAAGGTGGAGAGGGCAAATTGCCTTCTTCCCTCTCATTTTTAATGTCTCATTGCCCTCACAACTTAGAGATGCACTTAAGCTTTTTATAAACTACTTTAAACAGCTCATCAGTTCTAATAAAATCAGTACATTTGCCACCAAATATATGATGCTAGTTAGTGTTGCATCAAAGGAAAGCAGTGACTTTATTTGCAGAGACTTTACTTATTAACTATTTTTACTTATTCCGTGAAACACAACTATTGTAGCAGTTACTGTTCTGTAATTTGTTATTCTAGCTATAAATTATCCTGTCATGGAAGTCTTCTCATACCCATTTTACAGATAAGAAAACCAGAGACTCAAAGAGATTGTGTCTTTTCAAAGGCACACTTAAGTGTTATAGAAGTCATACTGACCTTCCCACTAAACCAGAACAGCCTGATTTGGGGTAGCTTCACACAATTTGTGGAGAGTGTCTCATCTCTATAATAGAAGTTGATCAAGCTTATGATTTACCAAAGGCAATTGCAGTTCGTTTTAAATTTTTCTGTTTCTTCACTTTTCAGGTACACCCCTCCCAAAAGTTGAGAGAATGCACAAAAGATGAACCACATGCATATTTCATAATAAACATTTTATAGTGATTATTTTAAATTTAGATTGCATAATAAAAGGGAAAAATAAACCTAAAGCAATAGAAATTTTCAGATTTGATGTCACTGAAGTCCCATCAAATCAAATAAATGGGGAATTCTATGTCACCAAATGGTCATATTTAGAGGTGATGATCATTTCTGTAAATTGACACAGGTGAAGAATGCATGAAAATAAGATGACGATTAAGTGTCCTTTTAGACATACTGAATGTTGAATCTTGCTAGAGCAATTTTTAAGACTTTATTCCTATAGAAAACAGTTGATTCAATTTTCAGTCCTCTCAGCTTCCCAAATTGACAAATGGAAGCACTTCTATAGCAAGAATCCTGCCAAGGAAATATTTATACTCTGGGCCTATGTCTTTCAAAGGTTTTTGGATGTTTGGCTAAGAAAACAGAGATGTGAGAGGTTGGATCAGAGTTGAGAGGGAAGCAATCTTTTTCTAAGGCAATTGCATTTGAACTTGAGTGTTAAGAACAGTGGATTTTGAATTACCTCCTGATAGCTTTAAATTTATGTATTTTTTTGGTGAATATTAGATTTGAACTAATAGCTCTATCATATTTTCACTTGAATTTAAAACATATTTTGTGAATGTTTTGAAATTTGCCTTTCCCCCTCAAAGAATTTTGTCTTAATCCATTAACCAGTTTGTATAGACACAATTTTTTGATTCATTTTTTGAGACAGAGGTTTATTCTCTTGCCCCAGACTAGATTGCCATGGCCTCAGCCTCGCTCACAGCGAATTCCAACTACTGGGTTCAAGTGATCCTCCTCACTCAGCCTCCCATGTAGTGGACTACAGGAACCCATCACCATGCTCAGTGAATTTTTCTATTTTTAGTAGAGACAGGGTAAGTCTTGCTCTTGCTGAGCCTGATCTCACACTCCTGAGCTCATGCAATCCCCCCTCCTAAGCCTCCCAGAGATAGAATATTATTTCATAGTTAACATTTTAAAGTTTTCTATACTTTTTTAATTTAGTGGACTATTAGTTTGACTAGTACTGAGTAGAAATAGCTGTTGGACAATTATTATAGAAAATGTAATATAACAAAATGTATAATTCTCCTTATTAAATTTGATCATCACTTCAAATCCCCATTTTAAAATCAGCCTTATTATTTATTCACCTGTCCCTTCCCCTAATAGACTCATTTGTACAAATGACATCACTGTGCTTCCAGGTAATCTTCAGCTTCATCCAATTTCTCTTTGCCTTTTATCCACTTACTTACCAGGTCTTATGACTTCTTTCTTCATGATGACTCACCAGTCAATCGCTCTCCATTCCTGATCACACCATCTGAATTTAGGCCCTAGAATAGGCATGCTACCCTGAGTCAATTTTCCTAGAATGTCATATCTTTTTGCTCAAAAACACAGTGTCTAATCATTTCTTTTTAAGTAAGTTCTAAGGAATTGTCATGTGCCATGTAGTTCCTGCTAAGGATTCTTCTTCAGTTACATTTTAAGCCTCCTCAACTCTTGCTTTTACTTCTTCTGGGTCCATAGTTTGTCCTAAACAAATAGAGCATTCCCAAATTCTTTGATTTCATTCATGCTCTCAGGTCTGCCCACAACATCATCTGACTTTCTACATCTGCATCTGAGTCTGATCTAGCCTTAAATCCTATGTACAGTGCCAACAATTTCCCGATTAGCAAAGCCAGATCTAAACTCTTTTTTCACAAATTCTATAATAATCATTTATTTTCTTAAATCGCTTTTGGGGCACTTGCAAGAGGAAACGTTCAGGAGATTTTCCCTGAGGTTGTTCAGCTACTTAGTGGCAGAATGCAGAAGTTAGGTCTTCTGAATCCAAGGCTACAGCGTCTATCCTTTATACCCTCAGAGCCCTGATAATTTACTATTCTAAGTACTTGAATATTTCCTATTTAGATAAACACAGGTAGCTATTTTGTACCTTGGAGAGAAGCCAAGTCCTCTCATTTGAATGAGAGATTCAATGAAATCTTCACCAAAGGAGAGTTCCAGCTGGGAGGTCCATCAGGAACCGCTGAAGGAAGCCTGCAGTGAAGGCGGTGCCCAGGAAGCCTAGCTTTCTCCTGCGAAGTCCCACTTACCAGTGCTGAGATCAGTTCCGTGGTCAGCACTTTACGAGATCCTCAGAAGCAGAGATGTTTACCAGGAATATCTGAGATCAAATCATGCAAAATTTAAATCAGTATCTTGTAAGAGCAGTTATTTTAGTTGAGAGAGATGATGTTTTGATTTCCTGGCCACTAATAAATCACTTAGCCGTATGCTGCGTAAAGTGGGGCAAGTATGCTTTTTATGAGAGTTCCCCATCGGGGTATGGATAAGTGTGGGGCTCTGGCTGGGATAATTTGATGTGCAGCTCTGGCTTCTTCAAGCTGCTCGGCAGCATGAGGTAGTGATGGCTACAGCATGCTCTGTACTCCATCGCCTGTCTCTGTGTGTGTTTTCATCATTCGCACAGCGGTGGGTGTATCGGTGACTGCCTCAAGGATTTCCATGAGTGCTTATACTCTGTTGAGGTGAAAAAGCTTCCTGGAAAATAATTTTTTTTCTTCCCGTAGAAGAGTAAAATGGATTTAAAGTTAATGGATGTCATTCCCAAAGGACAGCATTACAAACCCAAGTAATAAATACAAATAAAATTAAGTTAAATTAACGTATGCATAGGTGTGTGTGTTCACACCAAAATTCTAACACAGAAACCTCATCAGGCTTTCTGTGATTGGTTAAATGCCAGATTATTATGTTTTCAAGCATTATTTCAAATTGCAAATATGGAACTAAGTGAGTCTGGGAATCTTTGCTTTTCTCAGGACCGTGAAGCCGGTGAAGGTTTAAAAGGTACCTGATAAAAGTCTTATCTATTGATATTTTTTTCTGAAATCCTGGTTGTCTTTCACTTCTTTTCTGTAGCTTGCTAGAAATTAAATAGTTTAATCACTTAATCATTGCTCTACCTTGATATTTATTTCATCCTCCTTCCCTGAGGTATGCAAATAGATGTCTCTTTGCTAATATCTTTTCTCCATTCTCTGCTCTGAGAACTGAAGCAAAAAAGTCATTAAAATTGATAGCAATATCCCCCACGTTAGTGAATAAATTACACTTTCCATTTCATGAAGGTCCCATTATCTCTGGCCCTGACCCCTTCTTCCTTCTCTACTTGAAAGGCCCCTGATTTATCTCAAACTCGTCTGCAATCTTCCTTTCATTTTCTACCCTTAATTTTCTTACCATATTTTTTATACTTTCCACTTCATTCAGCGTCTCTGTGCTTCTCTCTATCTCATGCTTTATACTGTCCATTTTCTTCTTTCTTGGCTTTGATTAGTTTTTGGACCCCTCTCCTTCTCCACATGGACTTTTTGGTCTGATGAAGCCGTATGTATTTCTGGATGATATGCATAGTCCTTGAACATACTTTAATTTACCTTCCAGCATATTTCACTGACTCGTTCCTCTAACTTTCTCCCTTCATGTTTCATTTGGTTAGCTCGTATGCCTCTACTCAAAATGTACTTTTCTGTCTATAAAAATCATATGTTTGCCTTTATTTGTATTCCTTTGGTTGATCTTGTAGACCTAATCCCAAATCCAACTTTATTACTCTGATTTAACCGTCATATTTTTTATCTGTAATAATATCTCCAGTTACTTAAACTACTTTTGGAATTATAAAGAAAGCACATTTTCTTGGCCTTTGAAAAATACTGTAAGAAAGTATTGTAAGCAGAAAAGTGGTAAGTGCAGGAAGCACTGTGTTGGTGGAATTTTTGTTGAAACTTTCAGCTTTGAACTCCGTACACAGAAAACCATTAAATGCTGGGATAATAGAACCAGTTTCATTGTATATCCTTTGTTTGGCTATCTCTGTGGTTTATCAGTCCCCATAGAGCAT